ACTACATGGAAGAGATGTATCAACTAAATTAAGTATGTAAGGATGTTAACAGAAGAAAGAAATTGCACACTCCCATATTCCTAATACAATACAGACTTATGCCTACATCATCACAGAAACACTGGGTACTCTCTCCTCACTGAATACAACACAAACTTATGTCTACATCATCACAGAAACACTGGCTACTCTCTCCTCACTGAATACAACACAAACTTATGTCTACATCATCACAGATATACTGGGTACTCTCTCCTCACTGAATACAATACAGACTTATGCCTACATCATCACAGAAACACTGGCTACTCTCTCCTCACTGAATACAATACAGACTTATGCCTACATCATCACAGAAACACTGGCTACTCTCTCCTCACTGAATACAACACAAACTTATGTCTACATCATCACAGATATACTGAGTACTCTCTCCTCACTGAATACAACACAAACTTATGTCTACATCATCACAGATATACTGGGTACTCTCTCCTCACTGAATACAATACAAACTTATGTCTACATCATCACAGAAATACTGGGTACTCTCTCATCACTGAATACAACACAAACTTATGTCTACATCATCACAGATATACTGGGTACTCTCTCCTCACTGAATACAACACAAACTTATGTCTACATCATCACAGATATACTGGGTACTCTCTCCTCACTGAATACAACACAAACTTATGTCTACATCATCACAGATATACTGAGTACTCTCTCCTCACTGAATACAACACAAACTTATGTCTACATCATCACAGAAACACTGGCTACTCTCTCCTCACTGAATACAACACAAACTTATGTCTACATCATCACAGATATACTGAGTACTCTCTCCTCACTGAATACAACACAAACTTATGTCTACATCATCACAGATATACTGGGTACTCTCTCCTCACTGAATACAACACAAACTTATGTCTACATCATCACAGATATACTGGGTACTCTCTCCTCACTGAATACAACACAAACTTATGTCTACATCATCACAGATATACTGGCTACTCTCTCCTCACTGAATACAACACAAACTTATGTCTACATCATCACAGATATACTGGGTACTCTCTCCTCACTGAATACAACACAAACTTATGTCTACATCATCACAGATATACTGGGTACTCTCTCCTCACTGAATACAACACAAACTTATGTCTACATCATCACAGATATACTGGCTACTCTCTCCTCACTGAATACAACACAAACTTATGTCTACATCATCACAGATATACTGGCTACTCTCTCCTCACTGAATACAACACAAACTTATGTCTACATCATCACAGAAATACTGGCTACTCTCTCCTCACTGAATACAACACAAACTTATGTCTACATCATCACAGATATACTGGCTACTCTCTCCTCACTGAATACAACACAAACTTATGTCTACATCATCACAGATATACTGGCTACTCTCTCCTCACTGAATACAACACAAACTTATGTCTACATCATCACAGATATACTGGGTACTCTCTCCTCACTGAATACAACACAAACTTATGTCTACATCATCACAGATATACTGGGTACTCTCTCCTCACTGAATACAACACAAACTTATGTCTACATCATCACAGATATACTGGGTACTCTCTCCTCACTGAATACAACACAAACTTATGTCTACATCATCACAGATATACTGGGTACTCTCTCCTCACTGAATACAACACAAACTTATGTCTACATCATCACAGATATACTGGCTACTCTCTCCTCACTGAATACAACACAAACTTATGTCTACATCATCACAGATATACTGGGTACTCTCTCCTCACTGAATACAACACAAACTTATGTCTACATCATCACAGAAACACTGGCTACTCTCTCCTCACTGAATACAACACAAACTTATGTCTACATCATCACAGAAACACTGGCTACTCTCTCCTCACTGAATACAACACAAACTTATGTCTACATCATCACAGATATACTGAGTACTCTCTCCTCACTGAATACAACACAAACTTATGTCTACATCATCACAGATATACTGGGTACTCTCTCCTCACTGAATACAACACAAACTTATGTCTACATCATCACAGATATACTGGGTACTCTCTCCTCACTGAATACAACACAAACTTATGTCTACATCATCACAGATATACTGAGTACTCTCTCCTCACTGAATACAACACAAACTTATGTCTACATCGTCGCAGAAATACTGTTTAATCTCTCCCATAAATCATGCTATTAAAATCATTAAAATATTTTTCAAATCGAACTCATTAGTTTTTATTCAGCCTCATTAAAACTGTACAATATCAAAATGTTACACACATTTCCTGGTTATTTATAATGACAAACATGTTCAATTACAGTCCAGCATGAAAATGAATTGATTATATGATATCCTAACAGACTGACTTTTTGACTTTCTATTAAAACAGCATGACATCCTGGCTGAATGACTGTCAGACTTAATGATGTCAAAACAGATTTTTTATTTGTGAACAAGAAGATGTCCAAATCAACTTGTTTTTAAATAACATTTTAATATCTAAAGGATTCACATTATGAGAAGATGACCTCTTAGCCAGCCTTGTACAACTTGCCATCCTAACTAGCTAGCTAACTAGTATCGTGATATACTATTTGATTAATACTTTGGCAACAACACATTGCATATGAATGACTTTTTGACAACATGGCATTTGAGCCGATTGACTTTTTGACAACATGACATTTGAGCCTATTGACTTTTTGACAACATAACATTTGAGCCAATTGACTTTTTGACAACATGACATTTGAGCCGATTGACTTTTTGACAACATGACATTTGAGCCGATTGACTTTCTGACAACATGACATCTGGTTCAAGCATATTCTATCATGATTGTTCTGTAAGGCTATCAAATGTCTTCCTGTATGATGTTTGTTAAATTCTGTTCTCCTCTACTTGTCATAAGACTGAAAGAAGATGTTGCTTTTTTTCATGACAGCAAGACTGGAACTTTGAATTAACAAGTATTAAAACATGCACCTGATAAACACATGTATTTTTATTTAAAAAGTAGTTATTACAATCTGCCTTTTTAAAATTAAATCATCTGTACTTAATAGCACTTCAGTTTGTTAAACAAAATTACATTGTACTGTGTCAAGCTAAATATCTTTTAAAGAATTAATTCAGAAGTAAGATTAAGACATCAGATAAGATAACACAGTTTTGGCCAACAGTTGAAGCTCTGTTACAAGGTCTGCTAAAATACAGAATACCAAGATAAGGCAATCAATTTTAGAATTTAAAAACATGATAAAAAACAGGAATTCATTAAAAAAATGTCACCAAAAATAGGTCACACAATTGTAGAAATGTTATGAAAAGAATTATTCTCAAGCATGCAAGCGGACAGTGAAAATATAACTATGTAAATATCAAGGGCTGTAACTCTGCAGAGACAAAAGAAGAAAGGTTAAACTGATATCTGTATCAGTAAGAATGAAACCAGAGAAACACTTGACTAGTCCTTAAACAATGACATAGGCCTGACCGTCACACATCACTGATTTACATTGTTATACACATAAGATGGAGCAGCGACATATTCAGTCCTCAGGTACATTGTAAATTAAAACCGTTCCCAAACTAGTGGGGGAAATAACACAGCTAGTAAAACTAGATTTTTAATGAGCTGATCTATAAGAGGCACTTATGTGAAAGGTGAACTAATTGTATTGATTTGCTATAACTACTACATAAGGGTGGTGGGTGGTGGGTGGTTGGGTGGTTGGGTGGTGGGTTTTTTGGTGGTTGGGTGGTTGGGTGGTGGGTGGTGCAATGGTCGGCTGGTGCACTTGCCTTTAACCTAGATATCTGGAGTTTGATTTCCAGAATGGATATGAAAAGGTGTGGTGTCACCTGTCCGATCATGTGGGTTTTCATCAGACCCCTCGTGAGCTTACATCACAATTGTTGTAAAATAAATAAAGATCTGGCGGCAATGATTTCTGTCACCAGTGATTTACAAATGTTTAATACCTTTTTCATGTTGATGATGTTTTATTACCAAACATCTGTTTTCCCATATGTTTTTATATGTGATACAGTCACACCATCTAATTAACTCTCAAAATATTGATTCTTTAGAGTCATTTTCCTAAAAATTAGTGATAATTTACAACAAAACATGAAAATGATATGCATGGCTGTCATAAAAAAAGAAGTATGTATCATAAATGAAGTTCAATGTGTAAGTAGGGGGAATTCCTCAAAAAATAAGTATAAAATACAGGTCACCTAGTTGTAATAGTACACGTAATATACATTTACTGAAAAAGACAATAAACATATATTCATATTGTTTAGATGTCTGTAAATAAATTCACACTTTTAAGTTAGTTATAAAATGACAAGTTTATTAACACAGTGAACTGCGACTCCCATTTTATATCACAATTTCAGCCTGGTTTGATGACAAATTTGTGCAAGTTTTATAAGGTAATCTGTAGATTCCTATCTACCAAGTATTAAAATGAGACACCCAACAAACTTTAAACAATTCTTAACTTACCTTATCATACTTCCCTATAAGCAACATTTTGTAACATGCAATGACGTCCCGTTTTCAAAAAAGAATCTTATATGGTGTACATTATCTCTTTCCAACCTAACAATAGATGACATCCCATTTCTTCTATTGATATACATAACATTTCCAATATTCCTTTTAAACATTATACTTTCCACTTTCCCTTAAATAGACATATAGCATTTCATTTTCTTTAACAAAAATCCATTTTTAACTGAACATAGTACACTGATCCAAATTTTCTTAATTCTAACCAGGAAAAGCTGTAGTCAACTTCCTTGTTTTCTGATACTTTCCACCTATCATATCTCAATAGACTAGACTTAACATGGTTTATCAAGCTGCTATCTCTCCATGCTACATGGTACATTGAAACCCATTCAATTTATATATGGTTTCACAGTTTCATCAATGAAGTAAACTTTGTATGGAGCGATCCATACTTTTCTTCTCCATGGTTGTCATGGGTACAGGAGAGGCACACAAAAGAGTTCCACTCGTGTTTGAGCCGAAGCTGTTGTTAAGTGGTGTTAACTGTATACTTCTTGCATCACTCCTAGCAGATGGAAGTGGACTCCGTGGTCCTGAATATTGTGAACCAGAATGCATGGACAACCTTGACCCTGAGGACAATGACAAATGATCTGATCCACCACCACCAAATCGATCACGCTCATCCACTGTCAGAAATTGTGATGCCTCACTGAGTCCACTCAACCTACGAGATATTCCGCTCTTTTCGCTAAATCCACTTAATCGGCGGTGCACACTTCGTCTTATCTTTTCTGAAGTCTCCGAGTCGAACACCAGAGGACTCGGTGAGAGATTTGGACTTGGTTGTTGTGGGATGTTCTCACTGATGAAAATAACAATTTCAAGTTTTCATTATAATCATGTAACAGTAGATAAAATTGAGTTATTCCAAAGTAAATTAAATCTGAACAAGCAATATAGCAGCTTTTGTTACAGAGATACAGAGTGTCTGAGGCACACTTTCTTATGACCTTGTGACCTCATGGAGTGTTTCAATAGTCACAAGTTCTAATCGTGACCTTTAACATCATGAAGAGTTATATTAAGTACACTCTCCAATAGTGACCTTAAACCTTACAAGGAGATGTCATGGATATAGCCAGTAAATACTTACTCAGATGGCCAGAGTTTGATGGTGGGTGGTGGAGTGGGAGATTTCTTCGGTCTGTCTGCATGTCTTCCCCGGAAACCAGCTATGAACAAAAATCATTTCCATTAAATTTATTCTGAAAATATGTCAATGATAGTCTGAATAATTTAATAATTTTCACTTTAAGTCTGTATGATTTGATAGCCCAACAAATATCTATATTTCTAAAAGATGCATTTCCACTGTATGAATAACTCCTTGGGTGTAGTCTGTAACACCAACTTAGTGTATTGACAGGGTAGGGCAGGAAAAAGCAAATACATCCCTCTGGAAGGAGATGGGAATCTCAACTCCTGCGGTAAGATTATAGTGTTACTATAGAATATTTCCAAAGTATGGAAATTTTAAATGAGCTTGACTATCCCATCCGCCTAAAAGACTGATAGATTCTATTAAATCATAAATATGTATCAAAGTAACATCAAGGTCAGGCACAACTGGTGTATTCACTTTTAAGTGATGTAATCATTTCATTTATTTTCAGAGTTCTTTACCTGGTGATGTAGGTGCAGGCATTCTCATAGGAACAGGTATTGGAGAAGGTGGAATACGTAGTGGTGCTAAATCTTCCTGTTTTTTCCGCGAGGGTAGTTGCCGTGGCAGCACATTGGTAGATAGTGGTGATAGTCTTGGAGTCATGACAGGGGGTAAGTTAGGTGAAACAGGCATGCCAATAGGTTGAGTTATCATATAGGGTTGTGGTAGAGGGATATGGAGGGGATCTGGGTGTGGGCTCTGTAACAAATATCAACACTTTCTGTAACAGAGTATAAAATAGTCATAATCATATTGAACAGCTAGGCCAGTTATTTATGTCTGTACTTGAGAAATTTCTCGACTCAGTCCACACTGACACCAGACTGCTAGTGATATTTCATCATTCATAGCCATTTGCAGTAATATATCATATCCGAACTTGATTAAGTTTCTGTAAAATCAACTCTTACCTTCCTTGCTGACTTCCTATTTTTCCTTCGTTGTTTTGGTGACTGATCTGCATCCAGATCAGTTACTGTGGACAGCACTATTTTAGGAACAATCAACTGTCGTGGTGGAGAGTCTTTTGGTGGAGAGCCCCAGGGTGGGGAGCCTTTGGGTGGGGAATTATCACTATCACTACTGTCTTTTTCACGGTGGATCAGTGCATGTTCCACGATTAGAGAGGACATAGGTGATTTCAGTGACCTTGCACTTCTGAGCTGTGACCTTGCACTAGCTATAGGTCGTCCGGGTGTATCATCATCGTCATCAGGTTGACTAACCGTTAATATAGGAATAGGGATTGTCATGGTTCTCCTCACCACAGGCTTATTCATTGTTTCTCTGTGAAGAGTTGTCTCCCTTTGGAGTGAAGAATTATTCAGCATTGTTTCGTTTTGATTAGATAAGGAATTGAGTATTGTCTTTTCCTGAGTTGACCTATGGGTTAACCTCTGGGTTCGAAGTTCAATGGAATTTTTTCTGACCCTTGACCTCCCACTGGTGTCTCTAGAGCTAGCACTATCAGGTACTAAAGTTTTCATCTCTATAGAATCACTTGTATTTGTCGTATCTGATGTTGGAGTTCCGGTAGTGCTCTTTTTATGACGAGGACGGAACAGATCTTTTAATTTCCATATGGGATTGCGTACTGTTCCCTTGCGAGATGAATTATTATCAAATGTTCGTTTCCATGGTTTTGTCTTGGTTTCTGGATGAGAATTGGGCTTTATTCCCATTGCCTTTTCTAACAGTGCCTGACATTCTGAAATGTAATACTGACACACTAGACTGGGTCATCTTTGTTACACAAGTAAAATATAACTATCATCTTAGATACTCAGCTTGACAGAATTTCCCTTTTAAAGTAGACTTAAAATTACAGTAACTTTACTTATCAGAGGTAAATCAATTAACTGATTTGTTATCAGTTTCATTATCTGAATATAATTACGAAAAAAGTTTTATTTTCATGAAACAGTGTTTTGTTTCTTTAGTTTTAAAGTAACACCAACAGGATGAAATTTATTACAGAATCAAACTCATTTAAACATAGTTGAAGTAATGATTCAACATGTGGATAAAATAAGATGAAAGAACAGCTAACCTTTGTGACCTGATTGCTGAGCGTAATCCAGGGGTGTCCCTCCTTCAATGTCAACAGGATTAGGTGTGACTTTCAGACGCAGGAGAAGAGCTACACATGACATATGACCCATGGCAGTGGCCCAGTGTAAGGGAGTCCTGTTACAACAATACAATAAACATTTAGTCACAGTTCACAGGGTACACAAGGTGACCCAGTGTAAGGGGGTCCTGTTACAACAATACAATAAACATTTAGTCACAGTTCACAGGGTACACAAGGTGGCCCATTGTAAGGGGGTCCTGTTACAACAATGTGGTAAACAGTTAGTCACAGTTAACAGGGTACACAAGGTGGCCCAGTGTAAGGGGGTCCTACCACAGTTAACAGGGAACACAAGGTGGCCCAGTGTAAGGGGGTCCTATCACAGTTAACAGGGTACACAAGGTGGCCCAGTGTAAGGGGTCCTATCCCAGTTACCAGGGTACACAAGGTGGCCCAGTGTAAGGGGGTCCTATCACAGTTAACAGGGAACACAAGGTGGCCCAGTGTAAGGGGGTCCTATCACAGTTAACAGGGTACACAAGGTGGCCCAGTGTAAGGGGTCCTATCCCAGTTACCAGGGTACACAAGGTGGCCCAGTGTAAGGGGGTCCTATCACAGTTAACAGGGTACACAAGGTGGTCCAGCGTAAGGGGGTCCTATCACAGTTACCAGGGTACACAAGGTGGCCCAGTGTAAGGGGGTCCTATCACAGTTACCAGGGTACACAAGGTGGGAAGTTAGTCACTTGTAACAGTACCAAGGTGAGGGGAAACTTATAATTCAGATGAAGGTAATACACCTGTGACAAGGGAGATAATTACCTGTCATCTGGATCCTCACACTCCAGTTCACACCCCATTAGTTTGGCGAGTTCCTGCAGGATGTTGACATTTCCGGCAGCAGCAGCATAGTGGACAGCTGTCTTTCCTGAGGAATCAGGAATGTTGACAAATCGCTGGTTTTTGGCACATTGTATAAGTACACGACAGCTCCCAATACTTCCTTTCTGTAGACAAACAATTTGTTATAAACATATAGTTTGTTCCAATAAAACAAGCATGACTCTTAGATACAATGGCACAAACTGTATTTATTGTAAAATCATATGTTTTTGTTGAGCCCAGATTTTGTGGTTTTACAGAAAATTGCACCATCATTGACCTACAATTTCATGGATGAATAGTACTTATGAAATTCACTAGTGTGGATATTACCATATCAAGATTCATTGGGATTACCCATGAAATCATCAAAATCATATCTCCCATTAAAATTTCTGATTTCAAAGCAAAGTATATTTACTAGTCCTGGCAGTTCACAAAGCAATCAACCAAGAAAATAAACCAATTTTACTGTACTTAACCATCACTAAGTCAAAGCTTATCCAAATTTCTCACAGTTCAAGTATAATTATGTAGTAATGCTCTAATTTTACATAAAACAGTAAACATCTCTCAACAAATAATGACCATTTGACCAACGAGTACCTGTGCTGCCCAGTGAAGGGCAGTTTTATTATCCACATCCTGACATGTCATGTCACTCCCATGCATTATCAACATCTGTACATGCTCTGGTCTGTCATGGAAGGCTGCCCAGTGTAGTGGTGTCATTTTCTTCAAAGAAATTACATGACAGTTCAGGACACAAGAATATCATACATGCTCAGATATTTACTTTGAATGGTTTTTTTTCCATTATTTTTGTATATACCTTTTTTTGAGGTTATGTAATCTCAAATTAACAAATATGTCAAATATTAATGTAGTTTTTTTTTCTGTATGACTGATTTGGTCAAACAAATTAGCCATTGCCAAAGTCCTGTATCAATGCAGTCAAACTTGTTGTCAAGGCATGCAGTCAAACTTGTCGTCAAGGCCATCTATATATAAAAGCCTCTTATCTTGGTCCTGATTATTACAAGGTAGACTTTATGTAGAGCTTCATTAGCATGCAGACCTTTTTATAGAGGTTCGACGTCAATAAAATGTATTACATCAGGAGTGAAACAAGTGGCCTTTACAGACAGTTAACCTTTTTATAGAGGTTTGACATCAATAAAATGTATTACATCAGGACTAAAACAAGTGGCCTTTACAGACAGTTAACCTTTTTATAGAGGTTTGACATCAATAAATTGTATTACATCAGGACTAAAACAAGTGGCCTTTACAGACAGTTAACCTTTTTATAGAGGTTCGAGATCAATAAAATGTATTACATCAGGACTAAAACAAGTGGCCTTTACAGACAGTTGACCTTTTTATAGAGGTTTGACATCAATAAAATGTATTACATCAGGACTAAAACAAGTGGCCTTTACAGACAGTTAACCTTTTTATAGAGGTTTGACATCAATAAAATGTATTACATCAGGACTAAAACAAGTGGCCTTTACAGACAGTTGACCTTTTTATAGAGGTTTGACATCAATAAATTGTATTATATCAGGACTAAAACAAGTGGCCTTTACAGACAGTTGACCTTTTTATAGAGGTTCAACATTAATTAAATGTATTGCATCAGGACTAAAACAAGTGGCCTTTACAGACAGTTGACCTTTTTATAGAGGTTCGACATCAATAAAATGTATTATATCAGGAGTGAAACAAGTGGCCTTTACAGACAGTTGACCTTTTTAAAGAGGTTCAACATTAATTAAATGTATTGCATCAGGACTAAAACAAGTGGCCTTTACAGACAGTTGACCTTTTTAAAGAGGTTCAACATCAATAAAATGTATTTCATCAGGACTAAAACAAGTGGCCTTTACAGACAGTTGACCTTTTTATAGAGGTTCGACATCAATAAAATGTATTACATCAGGACTAAAACAAGTGGCCTTTACAGACAGTTGACCTTTTTATAGAGGTTTGACATCAATAAAATGTATTACATCAGGACTAAAACAAGTGGCCTTTACAGACAGTTAACCTTTTTATAGAGGTTTGACATCAATAAAATGTATTACATCAGGACTAAAACAAGTGGCCTTTACAGACAGTTGACCTTTTTATAGAGGTTCGACATCAATAAAATGTATTTCATCAGGACTAAAACAAGTGGCCTTTACAGACAGTTGACCTTTTTATAGAGGTTCGACATCAATAAAATGTATTTCATCAGGACTAAAACAAGTGGCCTTTACAGACAGTTGACCTTTTTATAGAGGTTTGACATCAATAAAATGTATTTCATCAGGACTAAAACAAGTGGCCTTTACAGACAGTTGACCTTTTTATAGAGGTTCGACATCAATAAAATGTATTTCATCAGGACTAAAACAAGTGGCCTTTACAGACAGTTGACCTTTTTAAAGAGGTTCAACATTAATTAAATGTATTGCATCAGGACTAAAACAAGTGGCCTTTACAGACAGTTGACCTTTTTATAGAGGTTCAACATCAATAAAATGTATTACATCAGGACTAAAACAAGTGGCCTTTACAGACAGTTGACCTTTGTAAAGAGGTTCAACTTCTCTAATTGTATTACACAAAGACTTAAAAAAGAGGCTTTAATAGACAGTTGAGGGGAGTTATGCTAAATGTACTTGATGGGGGTATAAGTTACAAGAAGTTTGGATGTAACAATACCTCATTGTCTGGCTGATTGACCTCCTGGTTCGTCAGTGTCTGCAGTAACACTCCAATAATTCTGTAACATTTACAACTACATTAAACTGATTTATAGGGAAAGCTATGGTTAATATTCTGTCATTGTACTTGTTGGTTATGTAGGCTATATGTCAAATATTAGGCTTTACAATTCAAATTTTGGTTTTTATCAAATTTTCATTTGTAATATTCAGTTTATGTAACTTATTGTAAATATTGCATGTTTTGAAGATATCACTTTTCTAGAGCTTCGAATTTGTCAAGAATATATTTTTAAAAGGTTCCCTTAAAAATATAACAAATAGGTTATACTGAAGGGAAGTAGTTACATTGCCCATTGGTTTTATTAAACATCCTTGTAATTCAGTATACCAACTGCATGATAAAACGAGGTTACTGAAAGAAGAACTTTGGTATATTATTTCTTGCTTCTGTCTCTTTTGATGCAAGACTCTACACTGTTTCTGGCACCTGTCTACTTTGATGCTGGACTACACTTAATCTCACCTGATGTCTTTATCATATGTACAAGCATGCAGAGGGGTCCTCCCAGATTTATCTGAGATGTTCTGTTTAGCACCTTTTCTCAGGAGATACATAACACCATCATACCAGCCCTACAACACAAACAAGAGGTTTAATAGGCCTGTACATAACACCATCATACCAGCCCTACAATACAAACAGTCAAACAGGCCTGTATATACACCATCATACCAGTCCTACAATACAAACAACAGGTCTAATAGGCCTGTACATTACACCATCATACCAGCCCTACAACACAAACAAGAGGTCTAATAGGCCTGTACATTACACCATCATACCAGCCCTACAATTCAAACAAGAGGTCTAATAGGCCTGTACATAACACTATCATACCAGCCCTACAACACAAACAAGAGGTTTAACAGGCCTGTACATAACACCATCATACAAGCCCTACAACACAAACAAGAGGTCTAATAGGCCTGTACATAACACCATCATACAATCCCTACAACACAAATAGTCAAACAGGCCTGTATATACTCCATCATACCAACCCTACAACACAAACAGTCAAACAGGCCTGTACATAACACCATCATACCAGCACTACAACACAAACAGTCAAACAGGCCTGTACATTACACCATCATACCAGCACTACAACACAAACAAGAGGTTTAATAGGCCTGTACATAACACCATCATACCAGCCCTACAACACAAACAAGAGGTCTAATAGGCCTGTACATTACACCATCATACCAACCCCACAACACAAACAGTCAAACAGGCCTGTATATACATCATTGCTCAGCAATGAGAAATTGAGAATTATATATGAAATAATTCTAATAAGTTTAATAAGTTACATCAGTACTAGGGTACAAGATTCTATCAATGCTTTAGCTTGTATTTCGGAAAAATAAGCAAAATTTCTCAAATTAATTTCCCAATAAGACATACTCTTTTCAACATTGATTTATTAACTACTGAGACAAGCATGTGATGTCATCAACAAATGACTTATTTATGACATGACAACAGCATTATTACACATCTTATATTTATGACATGACAACAGCATTATTACACATCTTATATTTATGACATGACAACAGCATTATTACACATCTTATATTTATGACATGACAACAGCATTATTACACATCTTATGATATCTATGACATGCATGGCCATAATGTGATGACACGTTATATGATCAAACTTCCATCAACAACTCTAAATTTATACACAGACCATTGGTATACTAGTCATAGTTGATCCTTGTCAAAGTTAACACATTGTAACAATGATGGACTACAATGATTTATAGAGAAATAGTATAATTTGTATAGAGACATACTCAGTATATCAGAATTCCTTAACGAGCACACTATATTCACCAATACCTTACCTGATATGCGGCAGTGGAGAGACAAGTACGACCTTGTCCATCACGGGTGTTCACATCAGCACCCATTTTTATAAGACGCTTCACTGCACCTAGCTGTTCTGAACGCACAGCATGAGACAACGGAGTGAATCCTGAAATGATGTACAGCATATATACAGTAACAAAGTCATAGAAATCTGGGGGTTAAAATAGATCAAGTTAAAATCTGTTTTCAAGGAAAGTTCCTTCTCAAATTAAACATGCAAAACTCTAACTAAAGTGTGATAACAACCTCACAGACACATATTAATGACACTGGTATCACTCTGTATGACCTGTATCAGGCCCAGAAGTATAACTGACAATCTATATCAGGCTGTTCTATAACACTAGGATCCTTCTGTATGACCTGTATCAGTATAACTGACCATCTATATCAGGCTGTTCTATAACACTGGGATCCTTCTGTATGACCTGTATCAGGCCCAGAAGTATAACTGACCATCTATATCAGGCTGTTCTATAACACTGGGATCCTTCTGTATGGCCTGTATCAGTATAACTGACCATCTATATCAGGCTGTTCTATAACACTGGGATCCTTCTGTATGACCTGTATCAGTATAACTGACCATCTATATCAGGCTGTTCTATAACACTAGGATCCTTCTGTATGACCTGTATCAGTATAACTGACCATCTATATCAGGCTGTTCTATAACACTGGGATCCTTCTGTATGGCCTGTATCGGGCCCAGAAGTATAACTGACCATCTATATCAGGCTGTTCTATAACACTAGGATCCTTCTGTATGACCTGTATCGGGCCCAGAAGTATAAATGACCATCTATATCAGGCTGTTCTATAACACTAGGATCCTTCTGTATGACCTGTATCGGGCCCAGAAGTATAACTGACCATCTATATCAGACTGTTCTATAACACTAGGACCCTTCTGTATGACCTGTATCAGGCCCAGAAGTATAACTGACCATCTATATCAGGCTGTTCTATAACACTAGGATCCTTCTGTATGACCTGTATCAGTATAACTGACCATCTATATCAGGCTGTTCTATAACACTGGGATCCTTCTGTATGGCATGTATCAGTATAACTGACCATCTATATCAGGCTGTTCTATAACACTGGGATCCTTCTGTATGACCTGTATCAGTATAACTGACCATCTATATCAGGCTGTTCTATAACACTAGGATCCTTCTGTATGACCTGTATCAGGCCCAGAAGTATAACTGACCATCTATATCAGGCTGTTCTATAACACTAGGATCCTTCTGTATGACCTGTATCAGGCCCAGAAGTATAACTGACCATCTATATCAGGCTGTTCTATAACACTAGGATCCTTCTGTATGACCTGTATCGGGCCCAGAAGTATAACTGACCATCTATATCAGGCTGTTCTATAACACTAGGATCCTTCTGTATGACCTGTATCAGTATAACTGACCATCTATATCAGGCTGTTCTATAACACTGGGATCCTTCTGTATGGCCTGTATCGGGCCCAGAAGTATAACTGACCATCTATATCAGGCTGTTCTATAACACTAGGATCCTTCTGTATGACCTGTATCGGGCCCAGAAGTATAACTGACCATCTATATCAGGCTGTTCTATAACACTAGGATCCTTCTGTATGACCTGTATCGGGCCCAGAAGTATAACTGACCATCTATATCAGGCTGTTCTATAACACTGGGATCCTTCTGTATGGCCTGTATCAGTATAACTGACCATCTATATCAGGCTGTTCTATAACACTAGGATCCTTCTGTATGACCTGTATCGGGCCCAGAAGTATAACTGACCATCTATATCAGGCTGTTCTATAACACTAGGATCCTTCTGTATGACCTGTATCAGGCCCAGAAGTATAACTGACCATCTATATCAGGCTGTTCTATAACACTAGGATCCTTCTGTATGACCTGTATCGGGCCCAGAAGTATAACTGACCATCTATATCAGGCTGTTCTATAACACCAGGACCCTTCTGTATGACCTGTATCGGGCCCAGAAGTATAACTGACCATCTATATCAGGCTGTTCTATAACACTAGGATCCTTCTGTATGACCTGTATCAGTATAACTGACCATCTATATCAGGCTGTTCTATAACACTGGGATCCTTCTGTATGGCCTATATCAGTATAACTGACCATCTATATCAGGCTGTTCTATAACACTGGGATCCTTCTGTATGACCTGTATCAGTATAACTGACCATCTATATCAGGCTGTTCTATAACACTAGGATCCTTCTGTATGACCTGTATCAGTATAACTGACCATCTATATCAGGCTGTTCTATAACACTGGGATCCTTCTGTATGGCCTGTATCGGGCCCAGAAGTATAACTGACCATCTATATCAGGCTGTTCTATAACACTAGGATCCTTCTGTATGACCTGTATCGGGCCCAGAAGTATAAATGACCATCTATATCAGGCTGTTCTATAACACTAGGATCCTTCTTTATGACCTGTATCGGGCCCAGAAGTATAACTGACCATCTATATCAGGCTGTTCTATAACACTAGGACCCTTCTGTATGACCTGTATCAGGCCCAGAAGTATAACTGACCATCTATATCAGGCTGTTCTATAACACTGGGATCCTTCTGTATGACCTGTATCAGTATAACTGACCATCTATATCAGGCTGTTCTATAACACTAGGATCCTTCTGTATGACCTGTATCAGGCCCAGAAGTATAACTGACCATCTATATCAGGCTGTTCTATAACACTGGGATCCTTCTGTATGGCCTGTATTAGCAGGCTATTGTCTCCATTAGCTGCTGCTTGGTGAGCGAGGTACAAATCTTCCAAGTCCGAGTCTGCCTCTACAACACACAACAGTAAAAAACGTTCAATATAACCAACCTGATTTATACAAGTCATCAAGGTTATCACGGAAATGTTTTTCCTTCTGTAGTATATACTGGTGGGAGAACCTTTCACTACATATCAGAACAAGTAAATACAAGAGATCCTTAAGGGATCTTGGCACCCATCATTGTTTGATCTTTATATGTTACTAAAAAGTTGATCGTTTTCCTTTTTGTCTCTTCTCTTCTCTGTATTTTTCTTTATGATACGAAATTTGAACATTCTTTTGCAGAAATAGCAATAATAATCTTAAACTTTGCCTGACAGCCATTTTGTTTTTGTGATCAGTCCCAAAATCAAACATGCACAATTAGGTACCAAAGGAACCTACATTTGAAATTTGAAAAAGATCAATCCAGTACTTCTCAAGAAAGAGCCATACCAAACTTTATTAGATGAAATCCAAGATAGTCATCTTTTGGCCATTTTTTTTCTGATCAGTCCCAAAATCAAACAATGAAATTTGAGAATGATCTATTCTATTCTATAGTTTTCTCAACAAACAGCAATGACAAACTTTCATTTTCAAAATCAAAGATATTATCTTTTTAATCAACTCAAAATTAAATGGGCACAACTAAGGCAAAAGAAGACCCTACACATGAAATTTGAGAGAGATCCATCCAGTGCTTCTCAAGAAATAGCGAAAGCAAACTTCAATGCAAAAATCCAAGATGGCTGTCTGTCAGCCATTTTGTGTTTCTGATCAAACCTAAAATCGATGTGGCACAAAATGGGACAAAGGGAAAACTATATATTTGAGAAAGATACATCCAGTACTTCTCAAGAAATAGCAATAACAAAACTTGTTCAGGGATTGACAGATCATGGGTGTAGGTTGATTTATCTGCTAAAAATCATTGTGGTAGTTTTAGTCAGCAGGATTTTATATTTTAGTTATGAAACACACAAGGGGGACATTTTATATAACATTATACAAGTGTAAAGGCGGTGATGTTTCAAAACCTGATCTGTCCAAACATAGCTAAAAGTAAAAGTCAAAATTAAGTCAAAGGTTTCAGTGATGAAATCACTCCAGGGGCATTGAGCTCCCTCAGAAAATCAGAAATTATTGTAAACACACAGCCTATGATTCAAAAGAATGAAGTAAACTGCATTGCTGTGAAAAACTATATAAATTGGAATTACCAAATAATGTGCATTATTCCAGGGAAATTATTGCAGCACACAACCTATGAAATGTACATAGATTCAATAGAATGAAGTAAAACTGCATTGCTGCAGAAAACTATATAAAATGGAATTACCAAAAATATGTGCATGTATATTGCTATAAAAACATAAATCACAAGTAAACAAGAGAGAATTATTTTGATTTCCATTTTGTGAACTGATTTCATAAAAACTGAGAGAAAGGGATATTTAGCAGACAAATCATTGTGTACTGTCTAGACTGCACGACTGAATAGACTAACTGAATATTTCCAATCTATAAACTCCATCTGTTGAAATGCTTCAGAGCAAGGAATGGATGAAACACAGATTGAAGGTCTATAGTACTGGTACCAGATTGACCTGTCACATTGATCTTCACCTGGAATATTACAGTTGGGCTATTCATTTCATTGTTAGACCTTTATCTGTAAGCTAGGTCCATACAGAACAAATTTGGTGACCATCCTTATTGAGTGACTGGTCTACCGATGTGCCTCCCTCTATGACATCCTTATAGAGTGACTGGTCTATCGATATGCCCCCCTCTATGACATCCTTATAGAGTGACTGGTCTACCGATATGCCCCCCTCTATGACATCCTTATAGAGTGACTGGTCTACCGATATGCCCCCCTCTATGACATCCTTATAGAGTGACTGGTCTACCGATATGCCCCCCTCTATATGCCCCCCTCTATGACATCCTTATAGAGTGACTGGTCTACCGATATGCCCCCCTCTATGACATCCTTATAGAGTGACTGGTCTACCGATATGCCCGCCTCTATGAATATTCACTCAATTGTAATCTATGATAATGAAAACTGAATGTGAGAAATACTTGAAGATCAACTTTATTGATAATGTTAGCACTTGTCTAATACAGAGGAATGATATAATGAAAAAAACTTTATACAAAAACACTTTGACATAACTGACCTGTTTATCCACTGTCAGAATTCATCCATGTTTTGTGTATGTCGTTAGTGGAATATAATCTGGGGGCTGTAATAGCTCAGTCAATCAGAGTGTTAGCCTACAAAAACACTCACTAACCATGGTAATTGTACGTGTTTTTCAGGAAGCTGAGAAATGGACTGGTGCTCACTGTTGTGGTTTCGTTTCTAAGCAAGACACTTTACCCTAATTGATCTGGAAATATGACGGGCCTTCCATATGTTGTTCAGTGAGGTATTCACCAGTCACAACAAGGAGACCGGCGTAAAAATTACCTGGCTGTTCCTCGGGTGATAAACAACAAACAATGAAACCCTTGAGAATTTTTCATTGGCTGTGCCAGAAGGCTTGCAAAATAAAACCTTTTAAGACTTGTTTCATAAAATCTCATGTTAAATGGAAACTCATTTATAATCCTATATATAAAACACCTGGGTATGAAACACTTAACAACTTTACAAGTATGTGTACAGGTAGATACATTATGGAAATTGCTCATGTGAGAACTACAGAATCCATTATTATAGAATCCACTTGTATATGAAATGTTCAAAATTGGCAATATGTTAGTTCATAATTGCTTTTATCTCAGATACATAACAGTTTACATTCATATGTGAATACAGGTAAATATTGTTCGTTGATATCTACCCTAATGATTACTGATTTCTGATATAGAAAGGAAATCACACCTACATGTGAATACACAACTGATCTGTTAACTGCCACAGATAACTACACTTCTATATATAGGCAAATGAACTGTGGAATATTTCAGACATATGAGAACTTTTCATTATGATATACCATGGTATATATAGGTACATAATAGTTAAGTATACAGGCTCTGTTATCATAACTTTCTGTTATAACCTTAGCGGTATATAGAATTTCACCATTATCCACGGCCACAATCAATATAGACTATAGGTGTTTAATGTTCACCTGTGATAAAATAATACAGAACAAACACACTTCTAGGTGTGTGCTTCAATGAAGCTTTGTCAATAGTAAAACAAATCCAGTGAAACATTAAAAACGGTATTGAATTTTCATTTAATAAAAATCTTCCAGTAAAATATTGACCAAACAATCATGTCTCATCTCTTCAACTTTCTCAAACTCTGACAGAGAATCTGTTGGCTGAATGAAATATTCACATTCTCAGTCATTTTGAAGGATATCAGTTTGGGAGTTTATATTTCAATACCTAGTAGTTAAAAGGTTTTGATATTTTGCAATAGCAATTTACATATGATTTGGTATTTTACATCAGTGGTAGTTTTGAAGTTTACATTATATTATGTTTTGGCATTTTACATCAGTGGTAGTTTAGGAGTTTATGTATGTTTTGGTATTCTACATCAGTGGTAGTTTAGGAGTTTATGTATGTTTTGGTATTCTACATCAGTGGTAGTTTAGGAGTTTATGTATATTTTGGTATTCTACATCAGTGGTAGTTTAGGAGTTTATGTATGTTTTGGTATTCTACATCAGTGGTAGTTTATGTATGTTTTGGTATTCTACATCAGTGGTAGTTTAGGAGTTTATGTATGTTTTGGTATTTTACATCAGTGGTAGTTTAGGAGTTTATGTATGTTTTGGTATTTTACATCAGTGGTAGTTCAGGAGTTTACATATGTTTTGGTATTCTACATCAGTGGTAGTTTAGGAGTTTATGTATGTTTTGGTATTCTACATCAGTGGTAGTTTAGGAGTTTATGTATGTTTTGGTATTCTACATCAGTGGTAGTTTAGGAGTTTATGTATGTTTTGGTATTCTACATCAGTGGTAGTTTAGGAGTTTATGTATGTTTTGGTATTCTACATCAGTGGTAGTTTAGGAGTTTATGTATGTTTTGGTATTCTACATCAGTGGTAGTTTAGGAGTTTATGTATGTTTTGGTATTTTACATCAGTGGTAGTTTAGGAGTTTATGTATGTTTTGGTATTCTACATCAGTGGTAGTTTAGGAGTTTATGTATGTTTTTGTATTCTACATCAGTGGTAGTTTAGGAGTTTATGTATGTTTTGGTATTCTACATCAGTGGTAGTTTAGGAGTTTATGTATGTTTTGGTATTCTACATCAGTGGTAGTTTAGGAGTTTATGTATGTTTTGGTATTCTACATCAGTGGTAGTTTAGGAGTTTATGTATGTTTTGGTATTTTACATCATGGTAGTTTCTGAGTTTATGTATGTTTTGGTATTCTACATCAGTGGTAGTTTAGGAGTTTATGTATGTTTTGGTATTCTACATCAGTGGTAGTTTAGGAGTTTATGTATGTTTTGGTATTCTACATCAGTGGTAGTTTAGGAGTTTATGTATGTTTTGGTATTCTACATCAGTGGTAGTTTAGGAGTTTATGTATGTTTTGGTATTCTACATCATGGTAGTTTAGGAGTTTATGTATGTTTTGGTATTTTACATCAGTGGTAGTTTAGGAGTTTATGTATGTTTTGGTATTCTACATCAGTGGTAGTTTAGGAGTTTATGTATGTTTTGGTATTCTACATCATGGTAGTTTAGGAGTTTATGTATGTTTTGGTATTCTACATCAGTGGTAGTTTAGGAGTTTATGTATGTTTTGGTATTCTACATCATGGTAGTTTAGGAGTTTATGTATGTTTTGGTATTCTACATCAGTGGTAGTTTAGGAGTTTATGTATGTTTTGGTATTCTACATATGTTTTGGAGTTTATGTATGTTTTGGTATTCACATCAGTGGTAGTTTAGGAGTTTATGTATGTTTTGGTATTCTACATCAGTGGTAGTTTAGGAGTTTATGTATGTTTTGGTATTCTACATCAGTGGTAGTTTAGGAGTTTATGTATGAGTTTTTATGTATGTTTTGGTATTCTACATCAGTGGTAGTTTAGGAGTTTATGTATGTTTTGGTATTCTACATCAGTGGTAGTTTAGGTATGTTTTGGTATTACATCAGTGGTAGTTTAGTTTTGGTATTCTTACATCAGTGGTAGTTTAGGAGTTTATGTATGTTTTGGTATTCTACATCAGTGGTAGTTTAGGAGTTTATGTATGTTTTGGTATTCTACATCAGTGGTAGTTTAGGAGTTTATGTATGTTTTGGGTAGTTCTACATCAGTGGTAGTTTAGGTATGTTTATGTATGTTTTGG